CCCCAAAACCCCAAAACCCCAAAACCCCAAAACCCCAAAACCCCTATATAATTTTAATTCCTTGAAAACATTCATGAATCAAGCAATAGCTTACATAATAATATTATTTAGCAATTACTCGAACTTCGGAACTAGGCTTCTTCCATGTTTCAAAAGACCAGAATTATCCATGGTATGAAGAGTCCTCTGCTGTCTTCCTTCAGCATCGTCAGAGTTTCTCTGACAATTTGAAGCGGGATCTTTCTCAGCTTTTGTGTTCATTTCTTTCAGCCACGAATCCACTTGGCCAGTTAGCATTCCTAAAAGGAGTTGATTGCTCTGAAAATTCTTAAAGAGTTCCTTCTCTTTCGATGAGATCTGGATCTCTTTGTCCTTAAAATAGATGAAGAAGCCGGCCTTCTTGCCGTCCTGACTATTTTGATGATCAACAGGAGGAAGGTTTCCTCTTATCAATGTTGAGATCATATTGAATGTAATACCTCTCAATGAGAATCCGTCACTAAGGATACACTAAATTTGAAAATTAGACGTGGTCAAATATATTTAGCCCAATGCGTATCCTTGCTTAGAATACCCCACATCGTGGATCTTAAGGAGTTCCTGGTACTTTCACTAAAATACGAATCTGGGGCAAAGGTAGGCTGTTCTAATAACTCAAATTAATTTGGAGACCCATGGGCAAGATAGGGAAAGTAGAGTGTCCAAAGTTACCTTTCACATATTCACCAGCAGGTGTCTCTGGTCGTCTATTTCAAATTTTCTATAATTTTCAAGTTTTTGACTAGCTCTCTTGAATATGTCAAAATTTTCCTCTATTTTGGCAGACTCGCCCTTTGCCTTTAGAGCCTAAAATCATATGAGGACATGAAGCTAGTCAGATGGATCCTTGAGCGGAAGGAGAACCAATTAAAAGCATGGCTAAGAGAAAGTTTACCATCTGTTTATAATATTCAGCTCTCTTTCTGAGCATAAAATTATCAGATTTTAACTTCTCGATTTTCTCTCTTAAGAATTGGACTTCTTTGTCACGTATTTCTTCTTGATACTCTATTTCACCTAAAGTTAGCCTAATGCGTCTACCTAAGGTAAGATTGATCCAATTAGATTTAGCTTTTCTCTTAGTCCCGCATAGGGACTCGACTTGAACAGAACTCATATTGATTAACGAAGTCGGTGGTTTGCCACAAAAATGGTAAAAATTATTTCTATCACAATTCTCTTGGAAGTAAATGGGGTTTTGGGGTTTTGGGGTTTTGGGGTTTTGGGGTTTTGGGGTTTTGGGG